GGGCGACTCTGTCGAACACTACTTTCTGTGTCAAACTCGGCTGAGAAAGTGTCGTAAGCTCGGACTTGGTCTCGGCTATTATTTTAGTGATTGTAATATTGAAGTAAACTTCTCGGGCACATCGTTTAGAGCGAGGCAGCGCCAGAGTTTGGAGCGGTCGACTGAGTCGAGAGCCGCTTTCAGATCGAGGCAGATAGAGATGATGGATCTACGAAAGGAGTGTCTGTGTTCTATAATTTGACGAAGAGTGAAAATGTGGTCGATCCAACCTCGACCAGGTCTAAAACCAGTCTGATTTTCATGTTTGCACTCTTCACGTGCGGCAGATAATCGACGGATGCCAGCGACAAATGTAGAGGCAATGTTGATTAAACTTATTCCTCTGTGTTTTACAAGAGGACCTGTCACCTTTCTTGTAAATCGGTATGGTCACTGAATCACACCATTCCACTGGGATCTGTTCTCTCTCCCACACTGAGCCTAGGAGTTTCGTTAACTCCAAAACCAAGGCTGAACCTCCATCCTTAAAATCCGATAGGGACAGCCCGTCGGGGCCGGAAGCCTTGTCTTTTGAGATAGCTTTTTGCTCTTGTAACCTCCATTTCAGATGGAGGATTGATGTTAGCTGGCAGTAATAACATAGTTGAAGCGGGTATAGGAGGGTCTTGTGCAAACGAAGAACAGCTGAACTGAACTTTTAAATGTTCTGCCCATCGATCTAGACGGTGTTGCTGAACATGAATCAGTATGCTGTCGAACACTTTAATTATCACATTTACGCCTGCTTTCCCTGGATACGTACTCCTAATTAATCGGAAAAGATTGCCATTATTATCAATAGCCGCAGCCTTCACCTCTGTACACATTCCTACCCACCACGTCTCTCATTCATTCCTCAGACTCTTTATGAGCTAACGTTCAACGGATTTGCGCGCTATCATATGTGGCATCGGGAGGGAGGATTCCCCATGTAAGCCGGTACCCTTTCTTGTGCGAGAAGTTGGTGCTTGACAGAAACAGTCCGTGGTCAGCACAGAGTTGGAGTAGGCGTTCTCCGTTATCAGTCCGGTTATCTGGAATTGCATGTGAACCACCAAGAATCCTTTCTGATTCCTCCAGGGATCCCACTTGAGCATTAAAGTCTCCGCGACAACCACGATGTCCGTTGACCGAGCACTTTGGAACAATTGAGAGAGGTCCTTGTACAATTCATCCTTCATTTCTGGCGAACTGCAATCGGTCGGTGCATACGCGGATACGATAAATAAGCATCGACGCTTCGTTCTGTAGCTGTTGATCCGTACTAAACCATCCAGAGGTACAGCGCAAAGTCGGCTGTTAACCGGGATCCAGTCGAGAAGTGAACGCTCGGCCTTGACACTTAGCGCAATCCCAACGCCAGCAACACCGCGAGCTTTGGATGCCGAATCGCCTGACACACGGAGGGTGAAGCTTGAGGATGAGGCTGGATCTGGAGAACGGAGGGAGATGACTGAAGTAGAATCTTGTATGCGTGTTTCGGAGACACAGCATACATCTAAATCGAAAGTTTCAAAGGTTCTAGCTAAGGCAGTTTGCTGACCGATCTGGTAGTGTGCTGACATTAAATGTCGGTAAGTGAAATGGAGATTTTAGTCCCAAAAATCTAATGACGTCTGAGTGATTGATTTCATTAGTTGATCGCTAAGCGATATCCCATGGGTGGCGCAAACAGAATGCATCTCCTTCAGTTCGTGAGTGAGAAGAGGGAGTGGACGGTTGAGAAAGATGGTTTTCCAAATGGGTACCTAAAACTTTGGAGCATGGCATGGCGGTTGCCCACACCGACGAAGGGGTTTTTCTCTGGGAACCCTAACCGGAGCCTTCGACTCAAAAGTCTGCCCCACAAGGCGATGGGGCGTGAACGAAGCACCCGTGTAGGAGCTTCTGGAGACCTGTCACGCAAGGGCTTTGAATTTCGGTTCAGTGTTTCGTTGACGCCCCCCCCCCTTTTTCGGATCGNGGCCCTTAGCCTCATGCTCTCAATGAGACAAGCAGAACGTGGACGAGACCGCATTTTATTGGTTGAGGGGCTGTCCAGCTTGGGCAGGCGGTAGCTGTCCAGTGAAGCTCGAAGACCCACCGTCAGGAGGAAGCCCCAGGTACTGTGCTTCTGCCTCCATCTAGCGGGGTTCTTCGACCGGTAAACTCCCCCTCGTTTTTTTTGCTGGAGTGGATAGTCGAGGGAAGCCATGAGGTGCCCAAGCAGCTGGCCTTGTGAAACTAATCTTCTGGCCTCTACCCATCGACCTTTCAGGCATTATTGGATCTGCGGCTGTGAGTAGCCACCCTGTATAGCTCGCAGGGTCATGGAGGCACGCGAGCCATCATACCACGTCAAGGTGAACTCTCGTCGTGAAGCAAGGGAGCGATAATTGGTATCTTTCAGTTATCGACATTAATTTATAAAAGAATTCAGAAGTGTTCAGTTCTTTAAATCGATATTTTTGTTAATGCTACGCTGAATCGACATCCTATGAGAGGAAATTTCTTGCTGAGTTTGCGACAGCTTTCTCCTTGTTCTTTTTTACAATAATCATACTCATTGGTATCGGGCTGTGGAAAAGTTGTCGCGCCGAGGCTTTCTAATTGTTTGTGTTATGCGGTCTAGCATGATTTCGACGAGATGAGCGGGTTTTTAAAACAGGTCAACTTCGTATTTGAGGGGTATTTCGGCAGAACATTCATTGTCACGGCGAACGAAGAGTTCACTTTTCAGAGTATCTTGCCGTGTCACTTCACATCTTGTTCAAGGAAGACAAGACAAGTACTTTATGATCGATCATCTGCTTCGAGAAGCTAGAAATAAGGAACTTGTTTAGCGTCCGGATTCAACCCACGAGGTCCGCTCAATTGGCAATCCGGGACTTCAAGCGAGCCATTCTAGTCTCACGTTCATTGATCTTCTTCTACAGACATTTTCCATTTCTCACACTAACTGTCGCGGACACCAACCCCAATTAGGGTTCTGTTACAGTTTATTCGACTTTAATGAGCGTTATTTTTAATTTTCATTATACTGCATATCTTTATATTTATATCACATTTTGGTATTAAGAACAAAGACAAACGCGACAATCATGGCCGGTAGGCCCTGTTTCCAGTGGTGAAGTGCGTATAACCTCAACGATGCTGTCTGTCATGCACTGGAGTTTGATTGTAATAACTGCTGAAGAAAATGTATATTGTAATGGTAGTGGAAGTAGTAGTAGTGAAGTTACGCACAGAATTCAGGACACGAACTACGCAGTAGGAATCACGGAGCACGAATTAGAAAACCGATGGCACTGGACCGCAATGGCTCGAACTCGCAATAACCCGCAGGATCGAGACGCGAGGAAAAAGGCCACAAGACAGGCGAATCACAAAGTCGTTTATTGAAGGAAATGAAAGTGAATATATATGTACACAAGAAAAGATCATTGGCTACCTTAGTTTCCACCAATCATATTGCATCACATCTTGCGTCATACTGCTCCTCTCTGCATTGTATCTGATTGGCTGCAACGGTCCACCAATGACGTGTATTCGGAGTCTGTGCACGTGCTACTGGCGTCAGCGCTCAAGGTCGATTGACTACCAATGTCTGGAAATTGTACCGCGCTGCTCAAGGGCGGGCGTGATCTCGTAGATCCGAATCACCACAATATACACGAGTTGGTTAGTCG